TGCAGTACCACTGCTCTACCCATATGAGCAGCAAAAAGACGTTTTTAGAACAATATTACAGATTTCAACAAATACGCACAAAAACATCAAAATTAGCACAAAAACAGTACTATATAACATTTTAGATACATTCTAGGCAGTTTATCAGCTAAAAAAAGTTAATTTTGGGGTAAGTTACTCTAACCACCCCTCTGACTCCGACCCTGCCAAGTTGTGCCAACACAATTAGAGCTAACAGACCAGATCTTGTGAGACTCAAGGTTTGACTAAATTGTTGTAATTCCATTATTTCTGACCAAATGGTGACACAAGGTTATATCTCTGCCATGAAAGGTTTAACTTTTAACTTTTTATTTTTAACTTTTTATTGATTGCATCATAAAGGAGTGGCCTTCCTGATGCCACTGTACTGTTTACACTGACAATAAATGGATATTTCCTCTCTTTTCTACTAATCTCAYAGGTGATTTTATTTATAATTTATAGAAACATTTTTTAAAGTTGTTTGCATGTATTTGTTTTTCCAAAGGCGCTTGAAGTCCTACCACCTCCTGAAAGAAGACCCAGCTGCACCTGAAGGCCCACGGGTAAGCAGGTCTGAAGGCGGCTCTGGATCCTCCAAGCTTTGGAAGTCGCTGAACCGTGGAGGAACCATGGACAGCTGCCCCCTGCTGCAGGACAGGCTGCTGTAACCCCAACTCACCCCCACCCCCCACAGCCAAATGCTGAGCAGCAAACTGCAAAGATAGCTTTTATACTTTTGAAACATGTTGCTTTGGATGAAAGCTTCAGAAAGGTTTTTAGGGTTAAATCAAGCTACATCCTAAATGTAAGCTCTAGAAATCTTGTTTATTTTGTACCACAAATCTAAACAAGTTTTCATTTGGACAAAAATGAAATTGTTTTTCCAAATAAATGTTCTTTTAAATCATTTGTTTTGAGTTTGTGTTGTATTTATGGTTTATGACGCTAAAATTTTTAAAACGTTACTGATAAAAACATTTTTGATTAATTTGGGTTAAATTGTGAATTCATTTTAGACAATTACTTATAATTCTCCATTAATTGTTTTTACATTTTAATAAATTTGGTTGCAAAAATTTTTAAAAAAAGTTTCTTTAAAGATTAAACATGCACCAAAGTGGAAAAAAGCTCTATTTCCAAATTCATGGGGCTGTTTTTGTATTTTCTTCAAGAAAACCTTTAAGATTATTGATTATTATGAGTCTTATAACGTGAACAATAAGACAACACGAACAATTTCACATCAGGGAGGTTTTTATTTTGAACAAAGCCAAACTTGACATTTTCAGGAGATTTATTCATCAGCTAAAGTGGAACTTCAGCTGATGGACAAATGTCTGTTTGCACTGAAGAACACATTGAAATCAATTGTTTGGTGTTTAACTGATTCTCTGTATCCTGTCTAGTACTCTTCTCCTTCCTCCTCTCCCTCGCCCTCGATGGAGTCGACTCCGACCTCCTCGTAATCCTTCTCCAGAGCTGCCATGTCCTCCCTGGCCTCGGAGAACTCCCCCTCCTCCATGCCCTCTCCTACGTACCAGTGGACGAAGGCCCTCTTGGCGTACATCAGGTCGAACTTGTGGTCCAGTCGAGCCCAGGCYTCTGCGATGGCGGTGGTGTTGCTCAGCATGCACACGGCCCTCTGGACCTTGGCCAGGTCTCCACCAGGGACCACAGTGGGTGGCTGGTAGTTGATGCCAACCTTGAAACCGGTGGGACACCAGTCCACAAACTGGATGGTGCGCTTGGTCTTGATGGTGGCGATTGCGGCGTTGACGTCTTTGGGCACCACGTCACCACGGAACAGGAGGCAGCAGGCCATGTACTTACCATGGCGAGGGTCACATTTCACCATCTGATTGGCCGGCTCGAAGCAGGCGTTGGTGATCTCGGCCACTGAGAGCTGCTCGTGGTACGCCTTCTCAGCAGAGATGACGGGAGCGTAGGTGGCCAGGGGGAAGTGGATACGAGGGTACGGCACCAAGTTGGTCTGGAACTCCGTCAGATCAACGTTCAGGGCACCATCGAAGCGCAGAGAGGCGGTGATGGAGGACACGATCTGGCTGATTAACCTGTTCAGGTTGGTGTAGGTGGGRCGCTCGATGTCCAGGTTCCTGCGGCAGATGTCGTAGATGGCCTCRTTGTCCACCATGAAGGCGCAGTCCGAGTGCTCCAGGGTGGTGTGGGTGGTCAGGATGGAGTTGTAGGGCTCCACCACAGCTGTGGACACCTGAGGGGCTGGGTAGATGGAGAACTCCAGCTTAGACTTCTTGCCGTAGTCTACAGASAGTCGCTCCATCAGCAGGGAGGTGAAACCTGAACCGGTTCCACCACCAAAGCTGTGGAAGACCAGGAAGCCCTGAAGACCAGTGCACTGGTCCGCCTGAGGACATAGGAAATGAAAGGGAGTTGATTAATTTGATATTTTGAATGTAACTTTGAAAACTATGACTTTACTGACCAGCTTGCGGATTCTATCCAGAACCAGGTCAATGATCTCTTTGCCGATGGTGTAGTGTCCACGGGCGTAGTTGTTGGCAGCATCTTCCTTTCCAGTGATCAGCTGCTCAGGGTGGAACAGCTGCCGGTAGGTCCCAGTGCGCACCTCGTCTGAGGAGAAAAYCAGTCAGAGTTAGTTCAGGTTTGTCAAAACCCAGCTTGTGTTCAACCAGAAGTGGTTCTTCTTACCAATGACAGTGGGCTCCAGGTCCACAAAGACAGCTCTGGGGACGTGTTTCCCTGCTCCGGTCTCACTGAAGAACGTGTTGAAGGAGTCATCTCCACCTCCAAGTGTCTTGTCACTGGGCATCTGTCCATCGGGCTGGATCCCATGTTCCAGGCAGTAGAGCTCCCAGCAGGCATTGCCAATCTGGACGCCAGCCTGACCAACGTGGATGGAGATACACTCACGCTGTGGGGGGAGAGGAACAAAGAAGTAAAAAACCAACCCATCACAACAAAATGGAGACTGAGACAGCTGCTCCCCCTATCTGAGGGAAGGAGCAGGGCAGGAGGAGGAGGAGGAGGAGGAGGCACCTCCCTGCACCACAATCCACAGGGGGGACAAAGGCTGACAGCAGCTCCCGCAAAGGCAGGACGCTCCTGGCGTCCTCCAGTCTTTTTTCTGCTTTTGTCTTTTTATCTCAGTCTCTTGGGCGAGGATAGGCACAAATGCAAATGCTCTTGTGCACAGGCGCGTGCGCTAAACAAACTGGAATATTCCACTTGATCTCTGTGAAGGTGCAGCAGATGCTTGGAAGCAAATAAAATACATCTTCTCGTTTATATCTACTAATTATGCCTCCATACACAGGATTAATTAGCTAAGAAGAAGAATTTGTGGTTTTAAATCTCAGATTATATTAAAAAATGCTTGTTTCTGTATCTCATGAATAAAAAATGATAGCTGTCTCCATCAGTCCCTCCCTGACACAATGGATAAAGAGCCAGATTTTAGCATAAAAGCATTCAATTTAAAATAAATGTAAACAAAAAATAAAAATAATGTTGCTCCTTTTGTTTTAAAGTAAATCCATTGTCCTCATTGAGATTAAACGCCTCCAATCAGGTCATTATTATCGTCCCTCTCACTGCAGATCAATCAGATTTACCTTAAATCTACTAAAAACACGCAGCAGAAATCTGACAAGGACATCAAATCAACCCGCGACGGTGGACAGATTAAATAATCTAGATAATCCCAGGCTCCGGCTGGTTTAAATCAAAACCTTTCAAAGACAACTCACCATGTTAGATGTTTAAAGAGGAAGAGGAGGAGGAGGAAAATGCCAAGAAAAAGGCTTTGTAAAAAAAAACGGGGTGTTCACGTCGCGTTTTGAACCCAACGGGGCCGATGCAACAACTGCTGACCGGGAGGGCGGTGCGCGCGCATTTATACCCGCGGGCCGGGCCGGGCCGTGCCAGGCGGAGGTTCGGTCCTGCACAGTGCTTCAAAAAAAAAAAAAAAAAAAACACCTCCGCACTGCCGCCATTTGGTGATGCTGCGCACACCTCTCCTCAGCTCATGTTCTGACAGAATGCAGCAAAATAAACTCTGACTGTGGAGCTAATCTTTAGACGTTTGGTGATAATCATCATTTATTAATTTAATCTTTATTGCATTTATAAGAATAAAGTGTTTATTTTGCAGCTTAAATGTTAAACCTAACAGAATGAATGGAGGAGACAGGAGCAT